GGGCCCAGGGCAGGGCCTTCCAATGGGGCCCAGTGGCCTCCATGAAGTGTCCACCATGGCGGTCACCAGGCCACGTGGCTGGGCGTCTGACCTGCAGCCAGTGTGGTACCAGGAGAGCGTTTTCAATCTTACGTCAATTAAATTAGTTCCAACAGCCACAGGAGGTGCAGGGACTGGCGGGCAGGACCAGGAGGCCAGAGGCCAGATGGGTGGGCGAGAGGAAGGGCCCCGGGCTGTGTGGGGGCGAAACCACCTGGGTTTGCACACAGGGTGAGGGGTGAGGAGGGATCGAGCTGACACCCAAGCAGTTGAGCAACTGAGGTGGGCGCGCCACGGAGATGGGCCCAGGTCCCGAGGCAGCAAGGGCGACCCAGGACATTGTGCCGGCATCAGTGATCATGTCCGACACCCGGACACCTCCGACACCTCGGAACAAGAGGGTTTTGCATAACAGTGGGCCCGCGCCAGCTCCTCGGGAAACCAGGACGAGGTGAAGGGTCCTTCCCACCAAGCCTCGCTCTCGGGCGCAAACGGGCGTGGGAGGCAGATCTTGGCCTCAACCCCGGTGCCCACGCCTACAGACAACCTGGCTCTGGGGTAGCCTCGAGGGTCCTGAAAACTAGCAGCGGGAGGACACAGAGGGGGCCAGAGGGGCAGGACCTTGCTGGCGTCTGGAGGAAGGGCCGTGAGTGGAGGAACACGGGCCCCTCCAGGAGCAGGGGGGGCAAAGAACCGACAGCACTACCAGCTGGCCAGGACCTTGACCGTGGCTGGCTGGACCGTGACAGGCCTCTGATCACAGACTGTGAGGTGACAGGTCTGTGCTGCCCTAAGCCACGGGCTGATCTGCCACTTCCTGTTATCATCAGCCCTGCTCCCTATCTGCAGGCCTAATAGGATTATCAGAGGACAGAGGCCAGAGATCAGGCAGATAAGCCCCTCTCCCGCCCACCTCCTGCCCTCCACCCAGGACACCTACCGAACCTGCAGGTGCTGACGTTCTGAATGCCGGACTCCAGGCACGGGCAGAAGCCTTCGTTGGGCGGGTAGACTGACCCGTTGGCAAATAAGGTTTTGGGGGCCACGAAGCGATAGGTGGGGATGCCCTGAAACATCCCCGGCTCCTGGTAGATGAGCTTCATGGACCTGCAGGGGGCAGACGGGGCAGATGACCCCAGAGCCCCTGGCGGCCCCCTACCTGACACAGGTCGCCCCAGGGAGCCGTCTCGCCCACCTGAACGGCCCCCTCCTGGGGCCACACCTGGTGGCCTCTCACCCAGGGAAATGCAGTGTGGCCTCCCTGCCCAGGCCAGTCCACTGTCCACAACCACACAAACTTTAAATCAGAAACTGAATATAAGCCGGGCGCCATTGTGCACGCCTGTCATCCCAGCGGCTCGGGAGGCTGAGGCAGGAGGATCGTGAGTCCAAAGCCAGCCTCAGCCACAGCGAGGTGCTAAGCAGCTCGGTGGGACCTTGTCTCTAAATAAATACAACATAGGGCTGAGGACGTGGCTCAGGAGTC